AGTCAGGAATACGATGATGATAACGGAAATGAGGCTGTAAGTGAATTGTTTTCAGAATAAGTTTTAGATTCGTTTTTTTTTTTGCTTAATTTGAAATAATTCAGAGAACAATTTTATTAAACAAATCGTAATATGATATAAGTTAGTAAGAAATAGCTTTTTTTTTTTAATTCTTTATTTAAGAGATTTTTAGCCTTAGGCTAGTTCATCTCTAAAGGTAAGAAATAGAAATAGCTATTTTTCGCCTGATTTTTTTCTAAATTTTCCTTGTTGTTTACAGCAAGCAGTATGTCGTTTGGCTTGTACAGCTCCGCAATCTAGTTCCAAAGGAATAATCATTGGATTCATAGCGGGATTGCAAGTCAAGTTCTTAATCGACTCGGGGGCAGAAGTTAATACAGTGGATAAGGAAACTTTCTTTGCTCTGAGAAACAACAATTCCATCTATTGTTTGAAAGATGGTTCGGATAAAAAACTTAATGCATATGCGACGGAAGGAGAAATTTCAGTAATTGCAACTTTTGTTGCAGAATTGTATATTTCCGAAGAACGTCCACGCTTCACGGAAAAATTCTATGCTGTTGAAAACGGAAGACCTTTGTTAGGCAGAAATACTTCAGTCCGGTACAGTGTACTGCAAGTTGGTTTGAATGTCCCAGTTCTTACACCTCCTTACATCGACTGCAGATTGCAGCCAGGGGAAATACGAGCTTTGATATGTTCAGGAGAATTTCCAAAATTCAATGTTCCACCTGTAAAACTCGTATACGATAACAGCAGACCTCTGTAACGAAATATATTTACCAACATACCACCAGCATTCAAGGAAGAAACTGAAAAACGATTAAAAAATCTGCTATCTATGGGAATTATTGAACCGGTTACTGAAACAATTGATAAATCATTCTGTTCGTCGTTGTTAGTAGTACCGAAGGGCAAAAATGACATCCGGCTTGTAGTTGACTTAAGGGGTCCAAACAAGAGTATAATTCGAACACCATTTCGAATGCCAACACTGGAAAGTATATTAGCGGATTTTTATGGAGCAATTTATTTTTCTACAATTTACTTCACAGGTGCATTCTTCCATGTTGAACTTCATGACAACTCAAGACACTTGACCAATTTCTTCGCTGGAAACGCAACTTACCGTTATAAGATACTACCTTTCAGATTATGCAACGCGCCTGATATTTTCCAAGAAATCCTTCAAACAGTAGTGTCTGCAGGATGCGTGGGTTGTCACAACTATTTAGATTATATATTGGTATCTGGAAGAACACAATCTGAACATGATGAGAATCTCAAGGTTGTTGTATTGTACAGTAATTATATAGTACTCCAAGCAAAATATTCATATTGAACAATTTCTCTCTAGGTGGTTCTTCGCTGCCTGAATGAACACGGCGTTAGTATAAATCATGAAAAATGTGCAATAGGCAAGCAAACTGTGAAATTTCTAGGGTTCCCTCTTTCTCATGCCGGATAACGAGCTGATGAGGACAAATTGATGGCCATGCAAGGTTTTTGCAGGCCGGAAAATCAATCTGAGGTTAAAAGTTTCTTAGGGCTGATGAACTTCATGGAACGATTCATTTTGAAACGAGCGGAACGAACCAAGAATTTGAGACAACTTGCCAAAGCCGAAACCTTTTATTGGAGACAAGATGAAGAAGATGAATTCGTTTATTTGAAAACTGAGACATTGAAGTCTATATCGAAGCTAGGATATTTTCTTTCCGAAGATCAGACCGAGTTATTCATGGACGCTTCTCCTATTGTACTGGGAGCTGTATTAGTTCAATATGATCATGCTGGGGTTGCCAGAGTAATATCGTGTGCTTCAAAAGCATTAACAGATGCGGAGAGACAATATCCTCAAACCCAAAAGGAATCATTAGCGATGGTGTGCGTAGTTGAAAGATACTCATTTTACCTGTTGAGTAAATCTTTCGCTGTTGCTGATCTGGCCAAAACCAGGCCCACGAGACAATTTCTAGTTTCTCAGTCCCTATTATTTGCCGCTGAAAAGCTGTTCCGAAGACAAGTAGAACCTCCACGAGGCGTCTCATCATTCGTTTCGTCCCATCATTAGTTCCATCATTCGTTGAGTCGCAGCGTTGAACCTGACTATTGGCCACAAAAAGGCTTGCCAATGCACATCAAAAATCGACTACATACATCCGAATATTTGTTTATCTCAAATCAACGGAAGACATTCCGCGCAACTACCATAAACTGGACTAGTTCATATTGATCTTCGTCAAGCTTCGTCTACAATTTGGACTTCTACATCAACACATGTCAGCCAGCCTTCAGTTCAATTGGCTAAACTTGGTGAGTTCGTTCCATTTTGTAAATTTTTATCTTTTCAACCCAGTAACGTTGGGAAATCACCTTTTTGTAGTGCGTTACTGATATAATATCTACCACCGAATCCTAGTCTTGACAGCTTCGAACTAGGGAATCAAGATTTTTCAGTAATCAAAGGATTACATTTTAGTGCTTGTTACTTTTTATGACTTGATAATAGTGACAAGACTCGGGTTGTGACCACCGCTGATATGCAAGTCTATATTGTATATTCCAAATTAAAAACATTGATTATGTTCAAAGAGTTTACAAAATTCTTTTCCTTTTGTCCTTCTCCTTTTCCTTTTGTCCTTCTCCTTTTCCTTTCCCTCTTTTCTTTTCAGAAATTGAGTAATGGCGCTATAGTCATAAGCTATAAAAGTCTAGGACAAGAGTTAGTGCTCATGTCCCAACCGTCAGAAGATGTTTTGATGTTTTCAACGACCAACCAATCATTTAATTACCAAAATCGGAACATACGGTACGAGATGTCCACGTTTCATCCATTTATTGGATTCTGAAGCATCGTGTTTTCTGAATCATCTTGCCCCTTAAATGCTGCACAGTAGGCCTGGCCGTTTTGATATATGTGGCGCATCTTCTTTATGGCAATCGTACGTATGGCAAACATCCGTTTGGCTAACGCATTTATGGATTTTATCTTACAATCATCGAAAGTTAAATTTGGATCGCAGTAAGCCGCGCTTGAAAGCTGACGTGTTTGTCTTTTGCTGCGTATTTTTCGTATGGAAATTGAACACATTTTGGCTTTAAATTTGTTAATTTGTGTGCTGAAATTTAGTTTCAAGTGTTCATAAAGTGTTCATTTAGTGATATATCGTGTTTTGCCTAGGTTTGCCTTGAGTGGCTCGGTTGGCCTTGAATCTAATTTTCATTGCCTCCCAGGAGCCCGGTTCTCCGGATGCTTCACTTTCGGCGTGTACCACTTGGTATAGCAGGAATTTCTTTCGGCCGTCGGGACATCTTAGCTGAATGGATTTCCTCTATTGGACCCATGCCAGCTGAGATCTGTTTTGTTTGGATTAATCGTTTGTAGCTTGTCTTAAATCATTTTGTTTTCTGTTGTTCCTCTGTTTCATTATTTTATATTGTTATTTTTTCATATAAGTTGAAGAGCCAGCAACCAAAGTTATTTACTAAATGTTAATATACCATGTATCTAGAGGTAACTCACTCTGAGCCCTCTCCTTTCTCCGGAGATGAACTAGCCATAGGCTAAAAATCTCCTTAATAAAGAACTAAAAAAAAAAATTTTGAAATGCTATAGAGCTATCACTTTCTAACTCCCGGACTAAAGCTGTCTATAATGACCATAAATGCGACATTGTAGAAAGAGTTCTTCCATAATACCACTGCCGGCCAGTGGGGGTTAGAGGAAATATACACACACACACAGACACAATAATCGAAAGTTGAATTTATGTTTAAACTCAAAGCTAATGACATGCCCGGATCTCTTGACATTATCCGTTATGTTCTAAAATGTTCACTTTGCTTAGCCTGATCGCAACTTAATGGCCGAGTAGTAGAAAACATGTTCAAAAGTTATGTTTAACGTGAAAATTGTTAAATCTTTTCACAACATCTATAGGGTGGGGCAAAATTATCAGCCTCTTTTTTTGTCTCAGTGTACAGCTCGTATTTGACGGATTGTAATTTCAACACACCTATGTCTATTTGGGTCTTGGTTCATTGTAAGCAAACGTGAAAAATTCCGTTCGAATCCGTTGGCGAGTAGTGCCACAATGAAGCGAATATCATCACTTAGTGCAGAAATCGAGCTTTACAAGCAAGAAAATCGTCCGGTAATGTATCGCTACACACTTAGAAAAAATCATGAAAATTTAGGTGCTCAAAGACTGACATATGAGAGCGTCAATTTGGACATAAAATTGAGTTATAATAGACGAGAAATTCAGCTAAATCAAACGTACTTTTCGTCGAGAAACGATCTTTTCAGTCTCGGAGCATTTAATTTTACATGACATGTTTGTTTACGTCTCACCCTTTATGTCAAAGATGGATTACGTCACGTGTAAAATTAGTCATTTCTAAGTGTGTAGGATTGACACTGCCAATACGAACTATTCGAGTTACAATAAAATATGATGTGCTTCCAAATTTGTCACAGACGGTCTTGAAAACCAGTCTGACCACGGCCTGGGATGCTTAATATGTAAAGGAACGAACGTCCATCGGCGATCAACCTACCTAAACGAATGAAAGCATGTGTGGCAGCCGACCAAGGACATTTTGAGAAATCCATGTAAATTTTACGAAGTACGTTTGTGTATCAACTTTTCTCAACATATATTGTAATTTAATATACTAGTTATTATGTAGTGGCGAAGGTGGATAATTTTTCCTCACCCTGTAGGCAGAAGAGCAATTGCTTAAGCACAGAACAGTTGGTTGACTAAGTAATCTAATAAACATTCGCTATATGGTGGTTCAAGTTAACTCATGGTCATTTGTAGTTTTTACTGTTGGCTAAACAATTATATCCCATGGATTTGAACATCATTTCCGACAATTTCATCCATTGTTTGCTTTTTGTCCCGAGTTTTCGTCACCCAATCCCGACGTATAAAAGCTACAAATTTCCCCTCCATCCTATGTTACCAGTGTTTGCCGTCGTGACTACATCGTTTGTTCACGCCAGTGCTGTCAAAATGACAAGAACAACTCCATCCACGTTGATCGTAGTTCTCCTCTTAGCCGGGGCATTGGCTCAACCTAAACCGGACGATCCTTCGTGCATACAGGGTAACCGAAAAAGGATCCCCGATTGTTGTCGCATGCCCTTCCAAGTCGATCAGAGTATTTTGAACCGCTGCATAGCCGAGAATCCAAATATTGCTCTCCCAGCTCCTGGCGTACAACGGACCGAAGGATGTGTGAGCTATTTTGAACCCAGTTGAAAAACAATCACCTTTATTATAAACCTAATTTTATTTCAGTGCCTCATTCAATGCATTTTGACCACGGTGAATGCCTTCAATAATAACGCGATTGACAAAGAAGCAGCCAAACGTGCAACAGCGGAAACCATTGGATCGGATCCGAACTTTAGCCCACTGGTCGATGGTGTAATTGATGAATGCTACAATCTGGTCAACAATAATGCCACTTTTACGGCCACTCCAGTTTCGGCCACACCAGGCCGACCGGGATGTAGCTTCGTACCAGAGGGATTTATCAATTGTGTGAAGTCGAAGCTGTTCCAGCAATGCCCCGCTGCAGTATGGACCCAGGATGCTGATTGCGATCAATTGAAGCAGAAGATTTCAACGGGCTGTTCGTTTTATTCATTGATGGGTTGATTTTCCTAGAGAATCTTTAAATAAACCGCAATTAATGTGCATTAAGGTAGCATGATGATTTTAAAATGATATTTTTTTAATTTCACATTTAACATCATTTGTGTCATTTCATATCGCATTTACAGGGTCAGGCAGAATAACTGGCACCGCTTTTAAAATGATGATATGTGGTCAATCTTAGACAATTGCAGGAACTGGTGGAGTTTTCGAATAACTGAGGCCTCGATGGGTGATAGCTCAACCTCAAAAGAAAGTTCAAAACACTCTTATTCGGTCTTGAAATATACCCATTCGTTTCGGCTGGACTGGGAGAATAAGAAGGGCGCAAGTAACAAAAAACGAATTTATTCTTCGATCTGTCAACTGGTGGACTGTATATGACGGGAGTTAGTAAAATTTACGTTTATCTTCTGTTTTTTTCATGTTTGAACATTTGGTTTAACATTTCAATTGATTAGCCTTTGGCTCTTCATCTTTGTTCTAGTTAATTGTTTATTCTAATGTGATGATTGCGTTTAGCGCTAATTTACAGAATACCCTTTATGTGATTGTTTTGGTTTGAATTAAAACAATTGATAACCTAGCTATTTGAGCACAGGAACCTGCCTAACTACTTAAACTAGGTTGCCAAATCACGAATGATCTGGTGGTTGATCGCAGACAGGCGACTCTGTACCTTTTCAGCGTGGAAATATTTCGCTCCTCGAGTGTTTGAAGACCGGCCAGGTGGTGAATCTCAGAATTACGAGTTTGCGGTGGACTGTTGAGGATCATTCTGAGGATCTTGTTTTGGATCCTCTGAAGCTTTAGGTGGTGGCACTTAGCACAACTCTCGCAGATTGGCATACCATACTCAATAGCCGGCAGAATGATCTGCTTGTGGACAGTGTAGGAAGTAAGAGCAAGTAAGCTGTTGATAAATAAATATAAAACAAATCTCGGTTTTGTCCAGTGTATGAATTGATCAACTGAAGAACAATAAGAAAAAGGAGGGTATATGAAGTACACTGCAGTTTCCAGTCAGTTTTCCGACGAATCTATACACGAGCGGTTGAGATGTCGAAGAGGAGCGTTCTCAAGGGTAAAATTGGCCCGAGGTCCGGCTCCAGGCCTGGTCAGCCTGGACGGCCCGGACACGACAATGGCGCAGTGCCTCCCAAAGGGTAAGTTGTGATTCGAGGACGTTTGGACTGCGATGACGGAGTAATTTTTCGTTGAACTCGCGTTCGATATTATGATTTTTTTTTCACATCGGACGGGATGGCGGCATTGAATGGCGTAGCTTTGGATTGGTGAGAGGCAAAAATGGTCGAATGATGCAAGAAAGAGAAAAAAAACTGCCTAGCAGTTGGATTATACATACATAAGCGGCCTTCGATTGTCGAGGCGAAGAGCTGACGAAAAAAAATATATATATGAATAGCCTTCGATAGCCGAGGCGAAGTGCAATTATTACATATATATATATATATAAAAGCCTACGATAGTCGAGGCGTAGAGCTACATACAGTAAAAGAGAGGAAGAAAACATGCATATATGTATTGGTGAGCACAGCCTTCGATAGTCGAGGCGAAGCGCTGCTGAAAAGAATAAGAAAAATGCACTCTGCTTGGCTTGTGGCAATGAGCTAGATTACCGAGGTGAAGCAATCACTCACACAACCACTGTACGATACACGGAAGTACACGGAAGTAGTGACTTGCGTTTACGTTGAGTTTTTGGTTTACTAGATACAAGTTCATAATAAAGTAAGACCTTTGTCTCGTTTAGGTGTAACACCATTCGAATTACTGGTTGGGTGGAAGTTCCGGGGAATATTCCCCTCCCTCTGGGATCCCATCGCAAGTTCAGACTTGGATCGAGAAGAAATAAGGGAGAAAGATGCTCTATCAAAACTAAATAGCAAAAAATATGCTGACTCACGCCGAGGTGCTAAAGAGTCGGATATATCAGTGGGAGACAAAGTGCTGATTACCCAATAGTCGATACCCGATAGTCGAGGCGAAGTCGAGGCGAAGCGCTGCTGAAAAGAATAAGAAAAATGCACTCTGCTTGGCTTGTGGCAATGAGCTAGATTACCGAGGTGAAGCAATCACTCACACAACCACTGTACGATACACGGAAGTACACGGAAGTAGTGACTTGCGTTTACGTTGAGTTTTTGGTTTACTAGATACAAGTTCATAATAAAGTAAGACCTTTGTCTCGTTTAGGTGTAACACCATTCGAATTACTGGTTGGGTGGAAGTTCCGGGGAATATTCCCCTCCCTCTGGGATCCCATCGCAAGTTCAGACTTGGATCGAGAAGAAATAAGGGAGAAAGATGCTCTATCAAAACTAAATAGCAAAAAATATGCTGACTCACGCCGAGGTGCTAAAGAGTCGGATATATCAGTGGGAGACAAAGTGCTGATTACCCAACAGAAATGGCAAGGGATGGAGCGAAAATTGTAGTCAGAAGTGGTCGTGGTGTCCAGTACTCCAGGAATGTTCAGGACGTAAAGCTTGCCTCAACAATCTGTGACGATTTCAAGCAGCTAGATGAATCTGCAGTGAACGAGCATCTGCTTCACGAGTCACTAGATTCCGATGTTAAGCCAGCAATCACGACGCGGGATGTACCAGACAACAGCGCACAACCAGCGATTCGACCGAAGCGGTCAGTTGGTAAGCCCAGTAAATTTAAGGATATGGTGCTGTACAGAATCTTTGAATAAAGAGTAGGGGTTAGAGGAGATGTAGGAAGTAAGAGCAAGTAAGCTGTTGATAAATAAATATAAAACAAATCTCGGTTTTGTCCAGTGTATGAATTGATCAACTGAAGAACAATAAGAAAAAGGAGGGTATATGAAGTACACTGCAGTTTCCAGTCAGTTTTCCGACGAATCTATACACGAGCGGTTGAGATGTCGAAGAGGAGCGTTCTCAAGGGTAAAATTGGCCCGAGATCCAGCTCCAGGCCTGGTCAGCCTGGACGGCCCGGACACGACAGACAGCAAGCTTGTTTTTAAAGAACAGGGTGGACTTCCTGTTTATCAGAGGGTAGACCGACCTGATCAAGATGTTACACTTGGTGGATGTCTTGTCCACATGGGATCGGAATAGCAATTTGCTATCGAGGGTGAGACCAAGGTAGACTACTTCTCTCGACCATTCAATGGGAGTGCTATCAAGATGGATCTTGACGTTAGCAGGCGTAACAAGCCGAGGTGAATTCGAGTGGTGAAACAGAATGGTTTTGTGCTTTAGCTGCATTGATACAAATCTTCTAGCTCTTGAAATAGTCGGACAGAACATCCAGGCCTGAGGCCACCCTTCCCGGCAGAGGAGGAACGTCTGACGTGAAGATGTTGAATAGGATAGGCCCAAGCAGGATACCCTGAGGGACCCCTGCATCAACGTTGAACGTATCAGAGGAGACATTGTTCAAGTAGACCTGGAATGATCTGCCCGACAAATAGTTTTTGATGATCTTCACGAGGTAGATCGACAAGTTGTATCGATGCAGCTTGTACACTAGACCATCATGCCAGACATTGTCGAACGCCTTCTCGACGTCCAACAATGCCATGGCAGATGTATTGAAAACGGACTTGTTCCACTTGATGATGTTAGTAGCCCGTGCGAGTTGATGGATGGTAGAGTGGCCTTTCGTAAACCAGAATTGCTCTTTGAGAAATATGTTATTATCATTTGAAAACACCAGCAGACGGCTGAGTATCAACTTTTCGAATAGCTTCGAGATGGAGGACAATAGGCTGATGGGGCACTGGTAGGATCTTTGCCCAGCTTGTGTATTGGAATCACTTTGGCTAACTTCCAGCATGCAGGGAAGTGCCAAGCTCCAAACATTTATTGAAGATAATGGTAAGATGGTTGAAAAAGTCAATACTCAAGTTTTTCAACTCGAGGTTGACTACACTATCCATACCCGCAGCCATCATGTTTTTAGTGCTTCTAATAGCTGCTATCACCTCATCAGCCGATATTCTACTATCATCATGCACTACTACGGGGGTGTCAGCGACTCTAGACATTGCCTCCAGTACGGATGGGGGCTCACCATGGTTTGGCCAAGATTATGTGAAATCACAAAATGTTGGCCAAGAGCATTTGCCTTTTCAACTGGGGTTATAAGTAGGGATGGATCCAAGTTCTGGTCAACAGAGGAAGTGGAGGGATCGGTCTCGACTTATTTTACAAAATGTTGGTCATCTTCCAAAATGGTTTTGCACAATCTGGGAGAGAGCGAATTTTGTTGGCAAAATCGTTATTTCTGGGTTCCACCATCCTGGTTTGGATAATTTTGGTTAGCCTATTGACATTGGTCTTCAAGTGGGGCAGCCCAGAACGCTGGAACTACCTACGAATTGTGTTACGGAGCCTGATAAGTTCTTTGGTTGGGCTGTCAAGGTTCAGAGTATGACTCACCTGTCTGGATGCTGGTACGTGTTGCTCCCTGGCACGGGATATCGCCTCTTCGATGGTTTGCAGACACTGATCGACTTCTTCGAACGACTCCGGTAGGACGTCGTAATCGATTGCTGTGTCCACACAGCGCTAATACTGCTGCCAGTTGACACGATGGTAATTTCACCGGGAAACTTGAAACCTATTGGCCGATGAACCTGATAGGCGATAGGTTGAGAGATGTTATCGCCAATGTTGCTGATGAAGATGTCGATGATGGCATGAGCTCCGGATCGACTCAACCGGGTGGGAGTGTCCGGACATAGGATGTTGTAGTGGAGTAGATCGTTGAATAATATTGTGCCGTTCTGGTTTCGCCGACTATTGCCCCAGGCTTGATGCTTGGCATTCAGGTCGCCAGCGATGACGAAATGTTGCCGCCGTCATGTTAGCTTGATGATGTCTGCGGCCGAGCCGTCCCTAATCTTGGTTTGCTTGAGGCAGTAGACCGCGATGATGGTGATTGGACCAAGCGATGTGCTCACCTCAACTCCTATAATTTTCAGCTGGAAGCTTGGTAGTAGCCGG